CTGATTTGGGGGCTGTTGGTTGGGATTGGTCATTTTTTGTGGGATTTGGGGCAGATTTGGGGGAACTTGTGTTGAATTTAGTGGGATTTGGGGTCCATTTAGTGGGATTTCGGGCCAACTTAGTGGGAATTTGGATTGATTTCCTCAGATTTTGGGCTGATTTCAGCCAGTTTTGGGGTCATTTGTTGGGATTGTGACATTTTTGTGGTATTTGGGGCAGATTTGGGGATATTTGAGGTAAATTTGGGTGAATTTGTGTCAAATTTAATGGGATTTGGGGCCACTTGTGGGATTTGGGGCCAACTTAGTGGGATTTTCGGTTGATTTCTTGGGATTTCAGGTGGATTTCACCCAGTTTTAGGGTCATTTGTTGGGATCGTGTCATTTTTGGTGGGATTTGGGGCAAATTTGGGGGGATTTGAGGTAAATTAAGGGGAATTTGTGTCAAATTTAGTGGGATTTGGGTGGATTTAGCAGCGTTTGGGGCCAATTGTGGGATTTGGGGCCAATTGTGGGATTTGGGGCCAATTTGGTGGGATTTGGGGTTGATTTCTTAGGATTTTAGGCTGATTTCAGCCAGTTTTGGGGTCATTTATTGGGACTGTGTCATTTTTTGTGGGATTTGGGTTGAATTTGGCCCCTTTTGGCTGATAGAAATGTGGGTTTTTTTGTAGGGCCGTGGCCCCAAAGCCCCCGAGGGCGCTTCCCGCAGCCGCCGTGGGTCGCGACCCCCCCTTAAAGGGGGGGAGGAGGAGGAGGAAGAGGAGGAGGAGGAGGAGGAGGAGGAAGAGGACGACGATGAAGAGGAGGAGGAGGAGGGTGGCAAGCCTGGCCCCGCCCCCTCTCAAGCCACGCCCCCCGCCCCTCAAGCCACGCCCCCTTCCCCACAAGCCACGCCTCCACTTGACGCACCACCCCCATTGGACAAATCCCCGCCTGTCACAGCCGAAGCCCCGCCCACAGACGAGCAAGCCCCTCCCACAGAGGCTGAAAAACCACCCGCTGCTCCCGAGGCCACGCCCACCGCAGCGGAGGCCCCGCCCACTGACACAGAAGCCCCGCCCACCCAGCCCCCTATTCCACCTCCTGATGTCGAGTCTTCGCCCAAACAGAATGAGGCCACGCCCACCGAAACAGAAGCCCCGCCCCCTAACGTGGAAGCCACGCCTCCGGCAGAAGCTCCGCCCACCTGCAGCATAACCACGCCCCCTCGACAGGAAACCCCGCCCCCTTCATCCCCCTCCCCTTTGCCCGTAGTGCAGGGGGCGGAGCCTGAGGCCACACCCACAGCTGAAGAGCCAATCCAGTCCCAGCTGAGTGAACAGCCCGCCCCTATGGGCGGAGCTAACACGGAAGCTCCTCCCACAGACGAGGCCCCGCCCCCCTCCTCACCCCGGGGCCGCAGCCAATCATCTTCCTCCTCCTCACCTGGTCCCGCCTCTTCCCGCGGAAGCTCCGCCTCCCCGCCGCCGCGGGGGCGTGGCCAAAACGCTGAGGTGAGTGAGGGCGGGGCTAACCAGAAAGGCGGCCAATGGGGTGTGGGCTGAGCAGCCGGCTGGCCAATAGGAAAGCGGCAGACAGAAAAGGGGCGGGACAAGTGCCAACATGGGACCCTAAATCTGAACTGGGAGGCAATGGGGGATCCCAAAACCAAACTGGGAGTGAATGGGGGGTCCCCAGTACCCAACTGGGTGCCAGTGAGAAGCCCTGAGAGCCAATGGGGACCCAACTAGGAGCCCCAAAACTGAACTGGGAGCCAACTGGGAAGCCATTGGAGGGCCACGGTCTTAACTGGGACCAAGTGGGAACCCCAGAATCCAACTGGGAGTCAATGGGGGACCCCAAAACCATCCTGGGCACCTTCTGATCTCCCTCTCTCTCTCTCTCAGCAGGATGAGCAGCCGGAGCCGACCCCAGCAGCGACCCCCAAGTGAGTGAGGGTCTCCGTGGGGCACCGTGGGGTGGTTATGGGGCAGTTATTGGGGTCTTAGGGGCAGTTCTGGGGCGCTGTGGGGCAGCTGTGGGAAACTGGGGCAGCTCTTAGGATCTATGGAGTGGTTATGGGGCTTGGTGGGCCGTTATGGGGCGCCGTGGGGCAGTTATTAGGATCTGTGGGGCGCTATGGGGCAGTTATGGGGCTCTGTGGGGCACTGTATCGGGTTGTGGGACAACTATAGGATCCTTATGATCTTCCCTGTGGTCTCTGTGGGGTTTCTCTATGTTCCTTGGGTTCTCTCTATGGTCCTTGGGTCCTCCTGACGAGTTCAGTCCTCTCTGTGGGGTTTCTCTGTGGGGTTTCTCTATGGTGTCTGGGTCCTCCCCTCCTTATGGGGTCTTCTATGGGTCTCTATGGGGTCTCCTCTATGATCCCTGTATGGATCCTCTCTATGGTCTCTCTCTGAGTCTCTGTGGTTTTATGGGTCCTCCATATGAAGTCCTCCCTGTGGGGTCTTCTCTATGGTTCCTGTGGGGTCTTTCTATGGACTCTATGGTTCTCCCTGTGGGTCTTCTCTATGGGGGTCTTTCTGTGGGTCCTTTCTGTGCTCCTCTCTATGGTCTTTATTGGTCCTCCCTGTGGGTCTTCTCTATGGAGCTTCTAAGGGGCCACTCTGTCTTCCCTGTGGGTCCTCTCTATGGTTCTTCATGGATCTTCCCTGTGGTCTTCTCTATGGTTTCCACGGGGTTCTTCCTGTGGGTCCTCTCTATGGCCCTTTCTGGTTTCTTTGGGATCCTTTCTATGGAGTCCTCCTGATAGGACTCTATGGTTTTCTCTACGTTTTCTATGGGGTCCTCCCTATGTGTCCTCTCTGTGGTCATCTCTATGGTTTCTATGGGGTCCTCCCAATGGGGTCCTGTCTATGGTCTTCCCTATGAGGTCCTCCTGATGCTTTCTATGGTCCTCTCTATGGTTTCTATGAAGTCCTCCCGATGGATCCTCCCAATGGGTGCTTTCTATGCTCCTCTCTATGGTTTCTTCGGGGTCCTCCTGATGGGTTCTCTTTATGGTTACTATGGAGTCCTCCCAGTTGGTCCTCTCTATGGTTTCTGTGGGATCCTCCTTACGATTCCTCTCCATGGTTTCTGTGGGGTCCTCCTTACGATTCCTCTCTATGGTTTCTGTGGGATCCTCTTTATGATTCCTCTCTATGGTTTCTGTGGGGTCCTCCTTACGATTCCTCTCTATGGTTTCTGTGGGGTCCTCCAAGAGGGGTCCTCCAAGAGGGGTCCTCCAAGTGGGGTCCTCCCTGGGATTCTCTCTATGATTCTTTCTGCGGTCTTTCTATGCCGTCTCTATGGTTTCTCCGTGGGGTCTCTAGGGTCCCTCTAAGCCCCGCCCACCTCCTTAAAGCCCCGCCCAATCCCACCGCCCTATTTTTTTTTTCTTCCTCTAAGCCCCGCCTTTTCCGGTGCCGCAGAGGCCGCCGGGAGAAGCGCGGCGCCAAGATGGCGGCCGCTCCCGCAGCGCCGCGGGGCGGGGGGGGGCACAATGGAGCGCGGTGAGGGGCGGCGGGGCGGAGGGCGGATGTAGGGCGGAGGTGTGGGGCGGCGGAACGGGGAGCGGGGGGGCGAGGGGTGAGGGGCGATGCGGGGAACGGACGGCGCTCCGCGGGGGCGGACGGCGGATGAATGGGGGATGAATGGGGATCCGTG